ACACACACACACACACACACACACTAACGACAATGACAGAAGTACAGACCACAAAGATTGTAACGACATCTGGGCGCCTCATCCGGGCGCCTCATCCGGGCACGCCGAACACGCTGCTCCCTTCTCATACGGCTTGGAGGCGGTCAGAAACCTGAAAGAATCAAAACTTGTAACATCTTGCTACCTAAGAATCACAAAGTTCTATCTGACATTTAATTTTGGGCCGTTTTGATGTATTGAGACCGACAGAGCAGACACCCTTGCCAAGAATGGAGCAGCACAAACACAATCTCACAACCCAGTATCACAACAGACAGCCAAGAACATCATCAAATGCAACACCAGGGAACAGTGGCAAAATGGATGGGTATTGGGCAAAACTGGAAGAACTGTATTTGCCCACATGACAACCCCCAACTCAAAAGATGCACTAAATTCCCTGAGTAAAAGAGAACAAGTTACGACCTTTCGCCTGCGAACACAACACATCCCACAAAATTCCTACCTTAATATTAATAGGATCCACAAGAATACCCCACCCGACTGCCCGTTGTGCGACTGCAAGGATGAAACAGTACCACACCACCTCTTTAACTGCCCTGCACTTTGCGACCTGCGTAGCACCTACCTACCTGCCTCCAAAGACATCGGAAATACTCTATACAACGACAAAGCACAGCTGATTAAAACCTGTAAATTCTTTGACATATCGACAGACCGAAGGGTTAGAACCCAAATGGCCGCTGGGTCGGAAAAGTAAAGTAAAGTTAAGTAAAGTAGGTATTGAGACATTGAGATCAGAAACTAAATGTTCTATCTGCTCTATCAAAATCATAAGATTGTTCGGAGTCGTTATTGAGATATTCGAGAAAACCAAAATTTCAAAATTGTTGAGGTCAAATCTCTCAAAACTAGGTACTTTTTAATGTTGTACCTTCGATATCGAAGTGTGGTTGCCTGAAAGCAAGGCACCCTTGGAAGTGGGGAAAACATTCACATTCGTAAAAATAAGTACATGTAGTTATATTATAGCAATGCCGGTGTTTTTTTGTGTGTGGGGGGG